AACAGTACTAGAAATCGTACACAGAAGAGGATGTTGATTAGATCAGCAGAAAATATTTTAGAGTGAATGAATTTTCCCTTGCAGTGGTTTGAAAAGTTTATGCTTAACTTCACGAGAAGCATAATTTTAAACTTGCTTAATAAAAGCTGACACTCATGCACCTTATTAATTAATTATCTCGGCGAATTATCCTAGACCGTATGTGGTTAATGGGGCGATAGAACAACTTTTGTCCAATTAAAAGACATCAAGCAGGCGGTAATAAATAGTTTAAAGTACTTATGGTCTTGTTTATCAATGTGTAACGTGGCCAAGTTTGTCTGCTTTCTTTGTTGGAATTTATCAAACCTACGGCTAATATTTATTTATATCAAATGGCAGGCGTTTTGATAGTTATCGTTAGCCCTTTAGTTGATTTCAGGCTTCACAGAGAGGAGGAGGAGGAATATCAAAGTGAAAAAAGTCTGGAGGGGGGGGGGGCGGGGCGGAAGAGTGCTTTGACGATGTAAAAGAGACAGACAATAAGGTAGAAAAAGATGAGGTGAGTAGAGCGAAAGCAGTCGAATATGACATACAGTTTGAGGCCAGAAGTCAACTGTCGATTAATAGACTTTTTTTGCCGTATGAGTATACGTTGCCCAGGGTGCACCACGTGGAGGTAAGTCGATCCCACACCCCCTTCGGGTAATATAAAAGAGAGTGTTTTAAGAAGAAATATTTAGTCCTCGATATTACATACGATTTTGAGAGATAGCGGTGTTAATTTCATATTGGATCCCAGTCAGACTGAAAAAAGACCTCAACTCCTTAGGCCTATTTCACTACCTATACGCTGACACCCACACCCTCCTTTTACGAAGCTCTAATTCCCGATTTATCCCACCAGCATTCCTCTAAAGTGGATTAATATTCATTTTGTTCCCCGCTGGACTCCTAGTCTTCTGATTCGGGGCAGGCCATTGGTTGCTGTTTACCTTCCGGAAGGTCACTGGTTTTGGAAAGAGTGTTAACAACTAGGTATGTCCCTAATGAATTTAAATTAGGTTAAGCTGACAATCTCGCCAGTGCATATGGAAGCACATACCACCGTGAGGCTCACAAGGGGTGCAGAATGGATCAATGAGAAACTCTGACTTGAGATACGCTTAACCATAGCCTCATCTCGCTTTACAAAGTGAAGGCCAATGGGGTGAGGCGAACGGTGCCTCTAACTCGTATGGCATTTTTCGCTGTGGTCAGCCCACCTCTCCGTTACGTGTAAAACAATAGTGTTATCCTTCTTTGTTTTCCACCTCTTAAACAAAACCTCCCTAAATGCGCTTTAATTTGAGCTACTGTAATTGACGTATAATAGAAATTGACCCACAGAATGGAAAACGTGCGTCTAGTGTTGTTATGGTGGTCTGTGTAGTTTGTATTATGGTATTGTCGAGCTGTTTTCAACTGGCACAATTTACCAGCTCTCAAAAACGTTCGCTTTAATTTATTATCATGGCTTACATTATAACGAAAATACAAGTTTCGTTTTGCTACAGCGACTATGTTCCGATTCTCCCCTTCCAGAGAGTTAGTTTAGAAAAAAAACTATGTACCTTTGACCAGATAAAAGGCATGAACTGTAAACGCAAAATTTAATTCTTCGACCTAGAGATAGCTAAAGAATATTAATCAGGGTATGTACACATGTGCTCGCCGGCAAGTTAGCTCTTATAGAAATTCTCATGCATTGAACTCTCAGCTGGTTTTATTACAGCCTCGTCAGCCAGACTGACAAGCCATCCGGGTTCGAGTCCGTGGAATATACGCCAGGGCTCCTTTCGAATAGTGAGCATATCCCGGAGGGGGCTGGAGTTGATATCTACTGGAGTGTAGCCGTACTTCTGTGCAAGCCAGATTCGAGCCTCTGCTATCTCCTCTAGATTTGCGAGGTAACCTCTGTTGGCACTGCTTGCATAGTACTCCAAAGCATCCTGAAATTTGCGAAAAAAGGAGAATAATTAAACGAAAAATCATGATTGATGCAAGTAATATTGGCTATTGGAGTCCGAAACAAAGGGCTCGGAGCAAATTTACTCTCGCATTCTCTGAAGAGGAGGGATGTGAACAAATGTACATCTTGTTCGTAAATATACGTTAGCCCAAAACCGCTATGAGTGATTAGAAATTCACAACGGATGAAAGGAATGCAAAGTTGCCTTTAATCCACCTGGATGGGGTTTCAGAAGCCACAAAGTTAAATCTTATTGTACCTAGGGCACGCTATACACTTCTTCAGGGACACAACGACAAAGGTAAGACAGATTTCCCCTGTTGTCAAGTTCATTTCATTTGTCTAATCAAACGTAATTTGTGGAATACCCTAAAATGTGAGGCAGACAAAACGTGTTGCCTCTGAATCTTAGCGCCTATGTTGAAATTTCTAAAAGAAAAATGGAGGCAACCACTTAATCTGAGGATAACCTGAAATGCAAAAGCCACAGATTATCGGAGCTGAAACCTATTTAACTCCAACTATGTGCCAAGTAAAAAAATTTTTAAACAATCAATAAGGAAAGACTCAAAACACCAATAATAACGCCAGAACCACAGCCGCTAAACTCACGTTCATTGTTTAGACACATTATTCACATTAGTAATTAAAACTTCAATCACAGCCATTCAAAGCGGATTCCGAATTTAGTTGTTTGATATCAGATGGATGCAAAGTGAAAGTAGGGCAAACAAAAATCCAAAGAAATTCAATTAAGATCAGGAGGGCTCACTTCCAATTCATCATGAAAGTACTTAGTTTTCATAAATGATGTTGCAAATCTAATGCTAGCACTAACATGAAAATTAATTAATTATTAAAATTAAAAGGCATCTTTATGGCAGAGCAATAAATGTACCCTAGGAGGTTTCTTTCCTCTAGGAATAGGCAGACCCAATTCGAAAAAACGGTAAGGATTCGACTTGGCCATCACCGATAGAAGATCATAGTAGCGAGTTGTTATGACTCCCCCAACTCGTTCAATAGCTGCAATAACCGCCTCACTGGCATATTGCACTTCGATATTCACTGGTGTAGTAAATGTATCTATGCCCTGAGGAGAGAAATAATCAGTGTATTAGAGAGTGTACCTCTTCGGTTAAATGAAATCCATAATGACGGTCATTATCAGCGTCTAATCTATAAAGACCCGTATTACAGATGGTGGACAAATCGATCGGAAGAGTAGAATCTACACGCGACAAATCGATCAGACGCTGCAGATCAAGGAGGGAAATTCGAACCATTGCACGACGGGATCTGACAAAGAAGTTGAGAATAAAATGGAAAAGGCGCATACAAGTGATCATCGTTGTAAGGTTCCTTGGGAACTTGGATGTAGAAAGGCGTGCGTTCTTTTAAAGTGCCAAGGGGCTGCCATGTCTGGTATTGACTCATTCCTCTGTGACCGAGACCACGCTTTTTTCGCTCTAGACCATGATATTTCTGGAAAAGATTATAAAGGCAAAAAATTCTTTATTTTCCTGTTTTAAGTGTTTTGAGTAAAAATTTTACCTTGTAATATAAAAAATATTAGCCAAGAATAGACATTTGAGAGGATACATTGCATCTGATTAAGCAATAAATAACTACGATATAAGCGATTTAAGTATATGAAAAATGGTTTTATTTCAAGCCGAATACATTCGCTATTTTGATACACAGTAATATATGAGTAGTATGGTTTACCGGTTTTCTAACACGAGCTAGATCCCTGATGTTACTAGCAGTAACCCTGGGGAAATTGCGAAGAGCTTTTAGCGCTTTCTCGACACTTGTCATGAGGACGAGTTATTCACAGTCCGACGCACTCCGCCTTGAATTAAGAAATCTACATAGGAGTTTTAAGATAAAATATAATCACAATGGATTTTTATGTAATACTTCCATACAAAACTATTTATAGCATTTAACATGAATTTTGGCATAATAAAGAGAATTTATGTCGATATTTGAACATTGTATTAATACCACCCTGCTATGATCACAACCCAAAACAGTAAAAACTGAAAAATGCCAAATAAAACCAAATGATTTATCTCTTTTTCCAAATTATGAACTTTTTTAATTTAAGAATTTATCTGAATGAAGTTTAGCTAAATATCTTTTATCTGATGTATTTTAAACCGAATGCAAATTTAGCGCTCAAATTAATAGTTTGACATTCCCACACCCTTTCTAAAGCTTCGCTTATAACTATCTCAGCTTCTCTTGCTCTTTATCACAGAAGGAAGACAACAGGTTATGTTAACACCATGTGCGATCCTCATCGATAACACTTCAGAAGCGTAAGCATGAGGAAACTTCAGCTAATACCGCCAACAATGGCAAGCTTTAGACTTTGGGGCAATTATTTGCTCAAAAGCTCTACAGGCGTGTAGCCACTTTTGTATCAAGCTATACTTGGGCATTATATGTAAGAATAACCACCAGGACTCATATTCTTTATAAGCGAAGACTAAAATTACCAGTGAAGGTTTTTTCAGATAATGGAATATACCTTCCCAATAAAGATAATATTAAGAGCCGATTCTAGTTAAAATTCCTGGATTGAAGACTGTAAAGTAGTAAAATCTCTTGATTGAAATGCAGAATAATTTAGAAATTCCATAGGGCAGGGCCTGACTGCATTGAGCCCGTCAGAATTGAGCAAGGTTGTAGATCCTCTAGAAATGCCCAAGGATAATGACCCCTCACCCAAGATGATTGCTAAAAATCTCATTCATTCGGGACTTAACCCCATCACACCCAAACTTACTAGTAACTTTATCACACTCCATCCCGAATAATTAGCTTCGTCAGTAATATGATTCAATTCTCTGCCTCGGGTTAGGTATTATTGCAATTGAACAAAAAACATAGAAAGCCACTGTTTGATTATTTACACATATATCTTGTATTATATATACCAAAAATTCCGTACAACAGGCATTTTTTACATTAATTCACCCTCAGAAAACGCGTATTCACCTGCTATCGGTTGGTAAGTATACCCCGATGGATCACACACATTCATCGTATTCAGAGCCTTGGCCTGTACGACCAAAGCACTGAGAGCCATTAACAAATTCTGCGCCTCTTCATCCATCATTCTAGACAAACTCATTGCTGCTTTCAATTCAGCCACGATAGCTCCCAACGCCCTAACATATTCCCCCTTCAAAGCAGCTGGATTCAAGTGCGGTTGTAGTTGTTTCAAAAGATGGAATTTGAACTTTGGAGGAACATTAAAACCTCCACTTATATCGCCGGTGGAAAGAAGATCAAGTGTTGTGTAAATTATGCCTTCTTCATCATTTCCAGTTTGTAAAAGCGACTGTAGTTCAGCATACCGTGAAATGAAGGCAAATTCAGGAGAGGATATCAACGGAACAAGCCACGACTGGCTTGCCTTCTGAGAAGTGGAAGCCCGGTCCTCGAAGAGACAGGTCACAATCCTCGCTACCTCCTTCACAACACTCCACGCTTCAGTATCGTATGAGGCAGCTGACATACTGCGAGACATTGTGCGTGTGATAATGTGAGCTATTAGCTGCACATCTCGTGCAATTATAGCCCAACCGAGAGCGGTACAAGCTCTAGCTGCATCAACAGGGGCTTCAAAGTGGGGTAAAAATGAACGACACTTTGTAAGGGAGATTTCATCTACCACTTCCGGTAACTTGTGTTTTCTGGCAAGTTGAATTAACTAAAATGGAAATGACGGATATATTCAAAATCAAGTTACTGGTACAATTTAAGTAGATGATAATGAACCTCATTTGTGAGACGAGTAGTAGTGGGCTTGGTGTGTTGGAGGAGAGATGCTTGAAGGGCGCGAGCAGTTGATCTCAAAGTGGTGCAGTAATCCAAATAGCCCATAGCGATACTTAGAAGACTTGGATCTGCGGCGAGACTTTCGGCATAACGCATGAGGAAAAAATCGGGCATTAATGAAGCCAGACGAATAGGTCTTGATCTACTTCCAACAATGCCTATGAGGGAAGGAAAAATTAACCATAACAATCAGCATTCGATATGACTTTTAAGCACGGAGCATATCCCCATAAATCGCAGCAAAACTTCAATTAGTTTTAGTAGTTAATAAGCAATTAACTTCACGGTAATTAGAAAAAAACTCTCTTAGGTGAAATAAAAGGGAGGAAATAATTGGAGACCACCTTGCCTTCAGAAAATAACTGCAACTTTCCGATTATCAAAAAAAAACGCTTGTGCAACATGGGGAAAAATAAAGATACCTAGACAATTGTAATGAATCCTCCACATTTTTCTAGGTTTGAATGTTGATAAACCTGGCTCACGTACGAATGTTTTTCAGGAGAGTAGGGATGCTTAATTAGATATTACAATTCTGAAATATTAGCAGGATTACAGCAAATGAGAATAATTCATCTAATTTGTGGATACCCAGAACTCCAAGTCCGCAGAAGAAAAGCAAGAGTTAATGAATACGTCAAGGGGGTAGGGAGCGATCGAGGTACTGGCTACCTTTGCTAATCAGGTCGTACTGATTGGTTCGTGTGTTTTCAGCATTCCAGTGATAGTTATCCATATTTCCAGTTTCAGAGTGAACTTTTTGGGGAAATTATTATTCGTATTTGAACGGACTAAGGGCAATACAAGTTAGTGTTGATGATTATTACTCGAATAACGGAAAGTGAGCACCCCGGTTGCTTGCAACGCAATGGATGGATCGTGCAATTCAGTTTCGAGGAAGAGCTGGACCCCCTTAATTACTTAATAACTTTTTTTCACCGAAATGACCCAAAGATAACGGTTCTTCTAGCAGCAATTACTAAAGTAGCATCTAGACATTAAAATGCGGAAAATGAAGCAAGATTAAACCCTAAACTTTGATGTCATTACTTACTTTCATTCAACTCAATAGATTTTTATAACAAAAAATGGATAAAAAATAGGAAAATAACGCTCAATTTCGGAGAGAGAAGTGACCTGCTGACTTACTGTTATCAGGTCCCTCCATCTTCAAATCGAATCGCCGAGTAGTATCCGTCAGAGTAGAATCCATGCCAGCGAAGAAATCAGGCAAAAGATGTTTAACAAAGTTTGAGAAGTGTGCCACCATCCACCAGTTGTTAAATTTCTCGCTCAGAGTAAACACAACTGAAAGTATGTCTTTGGCGAATATGTGCTGAATTACTTGATCTATGACCTAAAATGAAACGAGTCTACGTTATGAACTGAGCAAGATTTAATGACTCAAATTAGTGATATAACCCAGATTACCCAGTAGAAATGTGTATAACTTTGAATTAACCCGCATTGATGCTTAGAAAAAAGTAGCTTTCATTAAAATCCTGTAACTTAAAGGTGTATTGGTGTTATGCCAAGGGATAGTTTGTGACGAACCACTCTGACTTGGACCTGACTAATCATGATTGGTGGGATAAATCTGAGTTTTCGAAGCAAATCACCCATGTTAAACCAATCAAATCAAGAACAGAACATGAAGTAGAATGAATACCACAAGGAGGGGTGAAAAAACTATTTCCTCTAAACCACATATGAAGGCGAAGTGAAAGCGCCAAAACCACGATGTTTTGAAGGCATAAAAATGTGTGATCTGGATCAAAAGGAAAGACTGAAGTAGCCTTACCAGTAACATTTGAGCGAGTGATAAAAATCTTTCGGGCAGAGCTGACGTCGAACAAATTTAGCATTTTATCGAAATTGGGACATGACAATAGAAGGAAGATATATTCTCATAGATTACTTAAAACTAAAGTTGAACTAACTGATAACATGTTAAATTTCCATATTAGACCTCAATAAAAGCAACGGGAGAGTAGGTGAGTTCTCCTCATGGACGATTGGTAACCTCATCTGCAAATGAATCAGGGTGGCACTATCGAATGCCGAATTGTATTAAGGGTACAACGAGCTCCGACACGTACTCACCCAAAAAAATTCGGGAATCAGATCAATGGCTTAAGCGAACCCCCCCCCCACACACCCCTAATAAGTACTTATCTGAATATTTTGGTAATTCGTGTGTTCAGATGTTATCTATCGATTAACGCTGCTATAAAAACGAAAATGGAAATATCTGAATCAATAAATCATGGTTCTTGAGGGTAATAAAATTTAATATATATACATATATATACAGATATATATATATATATATATATATATATATATTCTCCCTTTTAGATTGAAACAGTTTTTCGCTACTAATAAAATAACCTTGTGAGGAGTTCCGTGGAGCCTGAATATCGAATTAAATTGACATGATACCACATTGCCGTGGTTAGTAAAAAAATTTTAATAATGAGAGAAAATAAACTTACAGAAGCAAACTGGTGGCCACCTAACTGTTTATGCAAATCAACATTAAACTTGGCGGTAAATTGTTCAAGCATTGTGGAAAGGGAGGGAGCATCGACAAAATGATTGGTATAGAAGAGCCATCCAACAAACTGGAAGTACCAAGTCCCACAAGCTTCTGTCACTCTAGCATCACTCCAACAGTCCTGACGACCGGCAAGAATGGAGAGAATGAGTGTCAGGTACTCGGAAGAGAGGTCGCCACTTACATCTCGGCTGCGTGTTTCCTCTACCAGACGGAGAGTACAAGCGCTTTGCCAATGTTGCCAGGCCTTTTCTACTGACGCGCTCTTTTGCCAGAGAGCTAAATAAAAATAATTCTAAATAAGCGAGCATATGCGGAACATTAAATCAAAAGAGGGTTCTTAGCAATCCTGCTACCGATAACTTAGAAATGGAAATACAAACTCCCGGCACCTCTACCAAATCAGTTGGCACAGATTTAGTGTAAATGGATACTCCGAAGAGTTTATCAGCAGGGACTTTAGGGTGTGCTACAAACCAAATTAGCCTCCAAAATAGACACAAATCCGAAACTCTATAAAAATACATAATTGCCTTAAAGGTAGGATAAGACCCAAGATTAAACAAGCCAACGAACCTACTATTTAGCCCATGTTAACAAATATGTTAATTTTATAAATACGTAATAATAAACCCTACAAGGATAAAATAGTTCACTTTACAGAGCAGAATGGCACCTAGGATGAGAGTAGAATGGACGTATTCTAGTAGATTACAATGAAGACTAGGAAAAAAGAACTTATCCCCCAGAAGCAGTACGATCCCAAGCATTAATATTGGAATTCATTGAAATTCAATCACTTAAGTCATTTGAGGAGCCATCACGAAAGTTGAATCGATTTTCAAGTTGAAAAATTTACCATTTTATAGACTAATGAAGATGAACTAATATTAAGTGAAATATTAACCATAATCATATCTACAATCTGAAGGCGAGCTACCAACAATATGACAAAACGTGCAATAATTGAAAATGGGAGGAACCGATTGAAAAAAGTGGATAAATTTCCACAACACAAACAGTTGGAAGAGTGCGACACGACATAATCTAGAAAACTTGAGTACACGGTACCTCCTAGTGTGTGCAAGAGTCACTATTACTACCGGACGCCGTAATACATAGAAAAGACAGACGAAATTCCAACATCTAGTCAACTCAATCTTGACATTGACCGAAGACAAACATTTCACCTTATGCTACTAGTAAGAAGGAAATTATGAACATATACATAACATTGATATAGTTCTTACGGGAATTTGCATTCCTATTTGCTACTGTTATTCATCCTTATTAAATGCATCAAGTAAATATTGTACCTAGCTCACCGCAATAGACCGAATGGTTCGCTCCAATCAACTTTGCCTAACATTCTGAGCCGAGCAATTTAGAAGTCCGTTGTAGATTAAACCCATTACCTCTAGCAGTTATTTATATCAAATAGCAGGCATTTTGATGGTAATCATTAGCCCTTTAGTTGACTTCAAGCCTCACAGAGGGGGAGGGGTGCGCGATAGACTTACCTCCAAGTGGTTCACCCTGGGCAACGTATACTCATACGACAAAAAGGTCAATTAACCGGCAGTTGACTTCTCACTTCAAAATGCTATGACCACACTGCATGTCATATTCAACTACTTCCACAGTACTCACCTCTAGCTTAATAACAGATTCGTCGAAAGTCACTACAATCATTTACATTAGAAAAAAATCAAACATGCTATTTCATTGAAATGATAAGAACTTACGATCGACTGAATTCGATTCATCCTGAGGCATAGCAGCAAGTAATTGTCTTACATCACGGAAGAGAGGTGTATTCGCTTTAGGATGAGCCATCAGGAGCGCTGAAACTTCTACCGGTTGACCCTGAATAAGAAGTGTTAAAACAGTTGTCCAGAACAAGCGTTCAGACTCGTTGTTGAATCTCAATGGACCGCCGCATGAAGAATGTTTATCGAGAAAACTGTGTGAAACCATACTGGCCTCCTGTGATTGAACAAAGTACCATTCACACAGAGCGTTAGTCAGCTTGCCAGGACTTAGGGACTAAAAACTTAATATGTAAACAAAACGTCATACTTGCAATAAAACAATCTCTGCTAGATGCCAGAGTAACTCGCAAGCTTTGACAAGATCTGCATCAGCGATAAGTGAAACACGTTTTTCACTGGAAAGATTTTTGCAGTTCTCTAGATATTCGCATAATTCTTGATGGCACATAGCCAAAATTGCACGAAATTGGTGACTCGAACGAAACAGACTTGAAAAATAAATTACTAAAATTAACCTTACTCAGCAGAATCATTGCAATCCTGAAGAACCCGGAAGATATCTTAAGATGTAAAAAAGATAAACTACTTCATACCATAGGATGCACGAATTAGTCGCTGTATAAAAACATTCTTTCTGGCAGAAGCGAAACTCTGCAATTCATATAACACAGAGCTATAAACCGGTTTTTCTCCTGATTTTGCCCTCTGAAAAACTGTTACTTTTTGAGAGGAACACCACACAAAGTTAAGTGGACCCAGAATATTAACGGTACAATCCTCACTCATCGTAAAATCACAACTCGAAGAGTTTGCTTTACAATCCCGCCGAGGAATCTGTTAGTAAAAACCACTGGTTTATTTCATTCCATATTTACATAAAAGATTAGATTCTTCTCGGATTTCGTTACTGCAGTTTTAAAAACTACCTGTACATTTTATAATAATTATGTATAAGAATATGTATATATATATATATATATATAAAGTTGTCATTTTCTTTCTCATAAAATTTCTACGCATTTAAAAGTCATTGCTATGAAATTAGAAAAAGAAAAGCATTCAATGCATATATTTGGGCATAGAATAATTCTTATCTTAATTGACTTTGAATCATATATACAGTTTTTAGGAATAATAAAGGGTTTATAGCTCAAACTCTAGTTTACCATTCTGCCAAATCTTCACTTAAGTCCTATGCAAATGTTGAGATTCCAGAAAAGTCATTGTTGGGAGCATAGACAGCCATTGAATACATCCTTCCATTCCACTTATTTAAGAATGCACCTGCGTTGAATTTTATGTGAGTATTCATCCTATTATCTTGCGCTGCAACTTTTATTATAAAAATTTAGTGTTATTTAATCACTTGGAATTTGATTGTTATCACAAGTGCCCTATTTTCAGACCTTACTAACTAAACAAGATTATGAGGCCAAAACGGCCTATATCAAAGACATTCATGGGTAACGCTGTTGATCTGAAGCAATCTCAAATTCACCTCAATCAAGATTTACTGATCACTCGCTGTAATATCAAAGACGATTTGAGTTAGCTAAGTTTGGATATTTTTTCATGACCATAAATCCTAAAATATCACTACCCGGCATTCAATTTTGCTAAGGTTTATTCAATAAAAGTTTATAAAAATTATTGATTGCCTATAATTAAAAATTGAAATATATAATAGAAGACATAAAAATGCAATCTCATATTGAATCGTTTATTTTTAAACACACTGATTTGTTTTTAACTTGAAGCAGATATTTTTGTATCCATCTCGGTATTCACTGCCGATTGTAATAAGTGTTTATTCTAGGGAGAACTCGGAAATGGCAACATCAAGTTAAGTATTCGACATCTCGTTTCAATTGCATGATTATCTTCGAAAATGCATTGGTTTAAAACATCCGCAAGTAATTTATGCTTACATGACATTTATACATTTTCATTTATTTTAAAGTATGCTATGGTTCCGTTCTGTCACAGAAACATGCAAAAAGGACAAGACCTTTAATTTTTAATTTGTTTTAGTAATTAACTAGCTTTTATAATGAGTAATATCTTAATAGTGAGGAGACTTTTAATACATTCTGCATGATTAGTGCCGGATTATTATGCGACTAAACAAATATTCCAGGATCTGACTCACTTATTCCAGATCGAATTTCTATATAGAGATAAACTAACAGAATATTTATTTATTAGTGGCTGGATTTTGGTTGAGATTCAATTTGGAGCCATCAGTTTTAGCTCAAAAGGAATGAATTACAAAATAAAATTGAAATCTTGAGACAGATTAATTCAACAATATGGAAGAAAATTTGAAATTGATATTTAAAAACTTAATAAAAACTTAAATTAACCCTGTATGAAGAATAAAAATAATTTTGAAAATTTGTTCGATGCATTTCTTTTTATTTTCAAATTAAGTATTATATAATATTTAAGACAGCCTGCATTTTTATGTGAACAAAGAATAAGAAAACAAAGCAAAAACTGAGTCAACTGTTCCAGATTTAATACTTATAATAATATATTACTAGGATAAATCAAGTTATTCTAAGTGTTATTGATCGCTTTTACAATTAATTATTTTTTCAAATTATGCTCCTCAAGGTTATAAGTTTCGCCCAAGTTCAGTTTTGCGCATTTTAGCTGGAGCACGTTTTGTACCGCCATGGCGTATTATAGAGTTGGTTTGCATGAACTGAGCAAAGTAACGGCACCATCCAGGGATTGGAATTTAGAGGCTTTCATGGAAGAATTTCAAATGCCAATCACGTCTTTGACTGCTGAAAAAATTAAATTTGAGTTGGTAAATGTTGACTGTACATTTGCTAATGCTATTCGCCGTATCATTAACGACGAGGTACCTTCCATCGCGATTGAAAGGATTTATATGCGTCAAAACACTTCTGTTATTCCGGATGAAATGCTTGCACATCGTCTAGGTATGATCCCTCTCAACGTTGATCCAGGCAAGTTGGGATTTTGCACCTCTGATTTGCCTGATACGGATGATCTAGTTGGATTCGATCCACAATGTCATCTTATTTTCGACATCAAAATTGCTAGCCAACCCCCAAAGTCAAAATCCTCCGGTGATGACGAAAACTCCCCCATTCATGTTTATAGGTTTGTTGTATATCTATAGCTCATGGTTGTTACGATTTGCTTATTCCTGTTATCGTTTTCTCTATAGTTCTTGCCTACAATGGGTTCCGCTACCCGGTCAGAAAGATGTTTTTACTGGTCCTAATAATCCTGGTGCCGTGTTCGATACTATATTGCTCGCCAAATTGAACCCTGAAGACGAAATCATTGCTCGTTGTGTTGCTGTAAAGGGAGTTGGAATGGATCATGCCAAGTTCAATCCATCATCGGCGGCTTTCTATAATTTATTTCCATCTATAACACTAAAGGGAACCATTTGTGGTCAACTTGCTCTCAAATTGCAAAAGAGCTTTGCTGCGGGAGTTATTGAAGTGGATCCAGTGACACAGACAGCCAGTGTTAGTAATCCTCGTTTGGATGATGGATCTAGACAGTGCCTCAGAGACCCAGAACTAAAAGATATTGTTGATATTTCACTTCTTTCCAATCACTTCCTCTTCACTGTTGAAACGGGTACCCCCGGCGCCCGCTCACCGGAGTCAATCGTTATGTCTGCTATTGATATTATGATATCAAAGTGCTCTTACTATATTACAATTGTTGAGCAGCCTGGTTTTGGCTCCACACCATTAGTGCGTCCAAATTTCGATATTTATTCTCCTGATCAGGATAAGAACAGTTCCAATTCTACGCTGAATGGACGACCAGCTGGAATGTATGCCAAATTTATCTCTAACGATCTTCTCCGAGCCACTTTCGTTTTCAAGGGAGAAGATCATACTCTCGGTGCTACCCTAAGATACTGTGTTCTTCGCAGGTAATTATCCTTAGATCAGATTTATCGGTTACCTATGTGCTTATTCAAGCATTTGAAATATTTGCTCTTTAGTGAGACGGTAAAATGGTGTGGTTATCTTCAGCCCCATCCGCTTGAAAATGAGATGCATTTCCAGCTTCAAAGCAAGAGTAAGCGATTTTTTTAAACTTGCTCTCCTCGACGACCGTGACTAAATTTGCTATTATTTCAGGGGAAATGGCTGCGACTGTGTTGAGGAATGGTCTCTACTGCCTTAGAGGTTGCTTTGAGCATGTCAAACGAAGGTTTAAATCATCATTGAAAAAGGACCAAAAGTAGTCAATTTCATCGAAGTAAATCGTCGAGGCTTCGTTTGTACAGCTTTATTTAAGATATTTAAGAATGTATGTGTATAGTCATGATCTTTGTAGTTCTATTTAATCGCATAATTTCCACCGAGGTTCTTATATTGTCCCAAAATTTTTGCATTTCACTGGCTAGCACTTCAGAAGAATGTGATTTCTTTGCTTGGGGTTCACTGATTCGTCTTTTACATGCTTACCTTCACGTATGTAGGTTATAGGAGTTTTGCTTGGATCTAGTTCATCCAGATATTCTTTAGGAAGAGGCAGTACTTGTATTGCAAGGAAACGGAAACCATTCATTTAGTAAAGAATAGATTGAAGCTTTTAGGAACAACCAAGAGGGGGTTAGTATGGGCGACGCTACAGATGATTCCTCAATTTCTAAGATGATTTGGTTTTGATATTTGTTAGAATGTTGTGCTTGCTTTGTGCATAAGTGCAATATCGATGCGTCACAAACTCCTCTGCCTTGCAGTGATTTTTACTATTCTTCTAGGAGGGAGGGAGATGCATTTGAATCTTAACGACTGTTGTTTATCGTGAGGCTCAGTTTTAAACTTTATGTGAGTCAAGCTATCTTCTCATTTTGAACTTATCTATATTGATTACAATCAAAAGAATATTTAAAAGGGTTTTAGGCAAGAAATGAATGCCATTGTAGCACTTTGTTATCGAGTGATATTTTCAGCTAACCCGGTGTCTTCATTAATTTAATCGAAAGTATTGTATTTTTAGCACCAAACCACTTTTAAAAATAGGTAATATTTATAACAAATGGCAGGCATTTTGACAGTTTCATTAGTCCTTTAGGTGACTTCAGGCCTCACAGAAAAGAAATATCAATGTGGAAAAAATTTCGAGAGGGGAGGGGGAAAGTAGGGTGTTTTGAAGATGTAAAAGAGAGACGCAAAGGTAGGAAGAGTACTGTGGAAGTAGTGGAATATAACACAAAGTGGGGTGATGGTAGTTTAAAGTCTGAAGTCAACTGCCGGTTAAAAGACCTTTTTTGCCGTATGGGTATACGTTGCCCAGGGTGCACCACGTGGAGGTAAGTCTATCACACACCCCAAAATAGGTAATATTGATTAGCCTTCATTCACTGTGAAACAAAGGTAAGCACTTACAATGTTTATTTTAGGTGAACAAATAGTATCTTTGGCTTTCATCTGGAAAAACAATTTGCTCTGAATGTTGATCTTCATCATGCATATTATAAAAGATGTCGGAAGAAGTTATATATCAGGAATTGTAAATGCTTTACAAATTAAATTGATGGTACATATCCGATTCATTTGGTTTAGTCAGTGTAATTTGAATTCCCTTGTTTAAGATTCTGCTTAAGGCAGAGCTCTTTGTTTATTTGAGGTGCCAACCCAGACATAGTATCTTTCTAAATGATACATTAAACAATAAGTTCACTTATTTAATCATTTCCTATAAACTAAAATGGAATTTATCAGCGCTTATTATTCAAGCTTATATTATGGGGGGCGCCTTACGCTCTGTCATGTCATTTAAAGCGAACATTATCTTTTCTTCATTTTTGTCTTTTATTTGATCTGAAATATCCTCTATATTCTTCTTCTGAAAGATGTCCTTTCCTAAATGTTGCTCTCTCTCTATCTCTTAAAGTTTAGCTGATAAAATTGGCAGGAAGTGAGGAGAAACCACGGCTTTGTTGCACACCAAAAGAGAATGAATGAGCTGGAGAAGATTAGAGCAAAATAGGAAGCAGAATGCTGGAAGCACGGCTGCGAATAGGCATTTTTTAATAGTAATCTAATACATAAACCACATGGAATGGTGGAGCATTAAGGTCGCTAAGACTATGGCCGATGGAAAAATGAGCTAAAAGGCGTTGAAAAATGTCAAGCCGAGGGAGGGGCCTATTTTATGCAATGACGCTTTTCGTATCAAGCAGTACGGGGCTGTGGATGAGTGGATATCAGAGCCTAGACTTTCATTAGTCCACGCCAGTCCATGTTGATCCGCGTGCTGATAGGTGCTTCCAGGGGCTTTCAACTACCGATTCTTTTGACGAAAGTGCTCCACTTCTAATAGTTTAAATGATCAAGTTAAAAAGTGAAACGATTGTATTCACTTACATTTGGCATAGATCTAAAAGCAGATGTCTGCATTTATTAAACTGTTTGTTTAAATAACATGCTTATTGACCGAAAGTAGATTCAAAGGTTCATTTCTGCTGCTCGTATATCAATTCTTTGTAGAATTGTTTTCATCAACTATTCTCTTACCTTATAAGCATTCAAAGGACATGAATTATAAATTAAATAAACTCTGAAAGAAACATTATGAGTTTTAAGTGCATTAGAACGGTTCATTGTAGAAGCGTTTGTGCTGTTTAATCCTCATTGAAAAGTCACTTAGTATTCAAATAAAGGAAATCAACTCTCACTCTGTTAGAATACTACATGCGAAAATTAAATATATCGATTGTATTTCATAGGTACAGCACGCAAAAGGCCTCACATTAACTTTAGCTTTCAACTGTTACGGACGTCTTGACAGCCCAGGGTTGAAGATGGAGAAGAAAGATAAAACTTCATTGCTGATGATTACAAAGAAGACTAGAAACAAAATCCTTCTATTTCTAATGAATGCGGTTTGGATACACACACACATGGACCAATTAGCACGAACGATGCATGAAATCAGGATGATGGTAATCGGTCTAGTCTGCGTTCTCCATGCTCTCGATAGCGTAGGTGGGCCAAATACAAATTAGGCTTATCCACAGAGGTAAGTGAGTCCATGCTGCTTTGAGTCCTGAATAAGTTATCAGAGAAAATGAAGAATTTGACGAATATTCTTAGGTTTGTATGAGTGGATAGAGACAAAAACACGTTCCCTCACTGAAATCGCTCTTTAATTTGCTTTCAGCTGTTAATCTTTAATCCTATTCCAACAAATTTGTAATCCTGCAAGGCCTCTTAAATTTCAGGTCTGCGTTGTCAGATGCCTAAAGTTTCCACATCTTCACTAAACAACCCATTCATTTTCCGCGAAGCACAGTTTCACGCTTGCGAAATAGCCCACTAAAAGATGTATTTTGCCTGACTTCTCAATGGTCCAATAAGAGACGACGCTGAGCTCGTACATGGCCTTTCCGAAAATCGTCTATGACACCGTACTAACTTGGAGTTCACCGACATGCTAGAATTAGTTCATAACAAATGCATCCCTATAATAACTTCTGGATGCAGATCCTGTAATCATGCAGTTTCAATAGAGAGATGGCGCAGTCCAGAACTTCCTAAGACGAACAGCTCCAATTCATCTTCCAGAATAGTAACCTTAGAAAAAGGAACAGGATGCAGTGCAGTTCCACCATGTAACCGATAACTCTCTGTGGAACCTTCGTTTATTGCTGATGAATTAAGCTCTAAGCAAGGGCAAGAAAGTTATAACACCTCGAGCAAGCAATAATCATCTACAACAGACGAGAAAGTAGGTAGAGGACCATATGGATTTTCTAAAAATCCTTAACATTTTTTGCCTCCAAGAGAAACAGGGTATTGACATCACCAATAACAACTTCAACGTCACGCTTCTTTGCTGCAAGTTGACGACAAATCAATCTCGAGTCTTAACTGTCCCCAACTGTCTGAACACAATGAGCGGACTTCATCATCCCCTTAAACAGTCAACCTTTCAAGACGATCCAAAACATACTCTCATCGTCGCATAAAACATTACAACTGAAATTCTTCGCGCCTCTTAATTACTTAGGGTCAATTGCTGTCAAAATAGGGCATGGAGCAGATGACTTAAGACATATAAAACAATCAGACCAAAGGTAAAGTAACCGAATAATTATCTACTCTGCTTCTCGCCAAAACCTGAACGCTTTCTATTCTCTTTGCAAAATGAGCTCATGTTTGATTTTACTTATCTTCCTTCCTTTTTAATCAGAGTCATTATTATAGATTTCCGAAATACGACACACCCAACCAGAAGAGGTCAAGCTTAAGGGGATTTCTTCACTAACTTTGTTCACCAACTTTACGTTAGTTTGTATTGGTCTGAATATGTTTTGCCGTTTAAGTTTGAGGGCATTGATTAGCAATTTACACTTACCACTTTCTTGATAACTCAGTTTTCATCTATAAAACTACAGAGGAACTTCAGTCGCATAAAGACCTCTGCAGACCTTTAATTCGCACGCTTCCATTACATCTGTCTACTTTTCGTTGACCTATTTCTTCTATTATTCCCGCTTTCACTTTTCTGTCTATCTCTACTTCCCATTTCTCTGTTCAATGCATTTTAATTCTCCCATTTCACAACCGTCTTGTTAACTGCAGCCTGCTTGTCTGCTCCTGGCTGAAAGTGCCAGAATCGACAGTGGAACGAAATTTTATTCTTAGCAAAACCACCTTAAACGGGACAATAATATCATTTTCATTACAATTAACCGTTCGTTTAAATTAGCTGTACTTACTGATAAAATTATGAAAAGGTAAGCTTTAAATAAGGAAAAAATATGCGAAAATAATAAAAAAGAATCAATCATTAGCTGCCTCTCCATCTCACAACTGTTTGTCTGGGACAAAAATGTGACACCGCGTATCATTACTAAGACATCCCTATGACAACTATTTATTTAGGGAGGTGGTCTCTCACTGTCTAAATTCTATAGCTGACAATTTGTCGTATGAATTACACACCATGCGATAGTTACTAGTCAAAACAAAAATTAGGATGTATGGTCACTAGTGTCAGAAATCCGGGAAATAGACCGTTAATCATCAATAATTGTGGAGAACTTGCTAGAAAACATGAAATATACAGGTTTGGCAAAATACCACAGACTATAGAGCCCTGTCAACTCGCAATTATTAATTGGCAAGGTAAAATTCCAAGCGGTGGAGAATCTTTGAAGACCATTTGACTTCTCAGTCATTGGAATGAATAAACACATTGAAGGGGCAAGTCTGACGCCTTTTGTTAAAA